ATTTGAAAAAACTGAATTGTTTCTGGCGTTAATACACTTTCTGATGGCAACTTTCAGCGTTAATACCAACTTATCAGTTTTTTTGCTTCGACTTTTCGCTTTCAAGAATCCGTCATCAACTTATTTTTTTTTAAATAAGGCCTTGTTTATTTGTTCTAGCAAATTCTGAAAGCCCGTTTTCATTCTGATTTCAACGATGTATAACATATTGACCTCTAGTTATATTTTGATCGGTTTTTAAAAAATATTCACTCACAGTGTAGGATATGTATTGAAATTCACTTAAAAAAAACTCTTAGATATTTATTAAAATTCATATGAAAAATAGCAACTCTGTCGACTCTATAACAGGTCTCCCGCTTTCTGGCGTTACGCTTTCAAAAGCTACAATAAACAATTTACGAAGTTTTTCTTCAGTTGCCAAACATACACTCTCACAAAAAGAAATCAAGTGGAGTAATGTCGGGTGACTGTGCTGGCCAATGCAACTGCCAATGTTGAAATTGAACCGACAGATGTTCTCTAACTCTTCTTGAATTGTGAGCACGTGCCCCGTCCTGCTGCAGATTATCCCGAGCTTTTTAATTAGATCCGATATAATAGATTAGAATTTTAATTAGTCTCGTTCTATTCTCTAATTCTGATTGTAAAAGAAAGCGCCTATTGGTCTTGTTCCCAAAGTTCCAGCCCAGATATTAAATCCGAATATATGTTGGTGTATTCTAGAGGTGTAATAAACGGTGTAATAAAAATTTTCTGTAACGGGTTACAACGTTCCAGTTTCACCTTCGTAATTTCCATTTAATAATAAAGGTCCCAAAATAAACATGATACTTTTCAAATTTTTTATTGAAAATGCAGAATGAGGATGACAGTAGAAATAGTGATGATATATAATGATTTCCTTTATTAAAAACATAATTATTAACTTTGGTAAACTAAAAATAAAATATTCTAAAATCAAAAATTCGGTTTTATGAGACGGTTAAATCGGCTAGCTGTAACTACGGTTTCAGGTTACACGTTAGGAACACTGTTATTTTAGCGGTTACGTTAAATACCGACCATTCCTAGTGTATTTACTCTTTGTATAAATGCACCAAAAATGTGCATTTCTTCTGTTGAATACACCATTACTGGAAACAAAAATTTCATCAGACCATATTATTTAGAGAGGAGAATGTTCGCCCGCATAACATTTTCTAGAATAGCAATTCGACATCTGTCTGGATCCCTTGGTGTAAACTCTTGGCAAGATGAATATTAGAATATAAATATAGAAATAATATAGAACAAAAAGATGAATTCTTTATTTTAAAAAAATGCTATGTGCTGTTCATTTCTGAATATGCGAATTGTTGAATTTTAAGTTCCAGTTCCATCGAGTTGAAATTCCGGGGTCCTCAGCACATAATACTTTGCTTAATTTGTCTTCACCTGTTTCTCTGTTTGAGATTAGTTACAGACTTGCTGAATGTTCGTTTGTCTGGTTGTCTCCTTTCTGGATACATGCAGTCGCTCCGCAAGAGAGGAACTTTTCACTCAGAACCTTTCAATGTCCCTAGTAAATTAAAATCAATTTTCTTCTATCAATTTCTACATTTTTTGTAGAAACCTGTATTTGAAGAAAGAAAGTTGATGATGAACTGATAATGTTATCTCTCACTGACTTAAAGTTGTCTTAAGAACGTGCAGTCGGTTTTGCTCCAGGTTTGTTATTATTAATGCCAAAAAAGAATATAATCGAAGTTTGGAAGTTTCGGGTTTTTTCGCTAATTTCGCTTCCAAATTGTCCATCTTCTTTCCCATTTATTTAACCAACTTAATAAAAATTACAGTTCTCGATATCTTCATGCTGACCCGCCTTACCTTGGACACAATGTATAATATTCAATATAGCCGCTTGAAAAATCGCCAGCCTTTTTTTGTTGCATTACTATTGTGTTCTCGTTTGGCAAACTACTTTAAAATACTATTTAAGATCTCTGACTAAGCATTTCAAACGATCGATCAAGCTTGCGCTAAGATCTATTTGACATCTTTAACATTAAGTTCTCGCGTTCATAGATAGAATCGCAAATATCAAGCAACTGTTTAAACCGCGAATTTCTCCTGATATTTTGGCTCCTGTTAACAGTGTTAACGCTTTGCCGAGGGTTTCAAAACGTGGTCGGTAGCGCGTTTAGTCGTCAAGGCAACCCCCGTATCCAATTATTCTGACGCCAGGATCTCTCTTCCAGTTTTAGGGCTGACTACGACCCCGCTGACCGTATTCACTGTTTCAAATTGAAACTTTAAATTTTAAAACTCGAAAGTGCGTAAACGTAACATTACGACCCTTGAATCCAGTTAAATTTAACTTATTAATATCTATATGAAGTAATTCGAGAGTTATTCAAGTAATTGATAGATTAAACTCTTTGATAATCGGCAAAAAACTTTATTCTGGCTATAATTTAAAGCAATATGAGCATTTAATAATAGATAAATAGTCGCGACAAAAATGTTACAAGTTATGATAACAACTTTTTAGAATATTCACTAATCCATTCAGAATATTTTCTCTTCTGTTTATGATCATTTTTTTTTCAGCAAACTGGCACCGTTATTCTTTTGGCAAACTGTATTTTTTACTGCAAGTTACTGAGAAATATTACGCATTTTAATGCTTCCCAGAGACCAGTTTAGCAATCAATCCTATTCTGTTTTAACCACTCTTGCACATGATCCACGATATGATTGGAGATGCTGCAACAGTAGGAACATTCCCACGCTACGTAATAAAACACTGTATTACTACTTACTGCCATTTGTATTACGAATAATGCAATATTTTTATCATTTCCACTATAGCTGCGTAAAATAAAATAAGCATACGTACTATACTGGAAAATCAATAGCCTCTTACAACGATGAGACATATGAGGACGAACACACCGTTTCCGCACTTTCTAAAACTATGTTTTCGAGAAAATGCACAATATTTTGGTTGGATGGATTGGATGGATGATTGGATTAACATTCAGGCAATATCGGTGCTTCTATTACTTTTTTCTAACTCAATTATTAAAAAGCTTTTTTAAAATTAATTTACATTTGAATGTAATTATCTAAACTATATTGGAAGAAGAAGACAGAATGCTTCAAATGTAGGGAATATGAATAATGGAACAAGTAAAATCTCAAAAAATAATATCAAATCAGCTTGGACTAACAACAATGGGTGATTCAAAATTTGCGTCATTCCTTTTAAGGGGTTATAGGGCCTCAGTTGAGATATATACAGGGTAGTAAAATAAATTACTTGTTATTAAAAACTAAGAAATTTGCGAAAAACTATATTAGAAATACGGCAGCAATGTTTTTCAAGGTAATCTGCCTAATTAACATTGCACAATTACCTGTGGCTGCGTAATTATTTAAAACTCCGGTAACCATGGAGTTATACAGACTGACAATAAGATAGACAAGGATAAACGGTAAATTCATCAAGATTTGTTGAGGAAATGTCAACCTGTTCTCATAACTCAAATATTGTGTGTTTAAAAATAAACCATACCAACACCAAACATTTCAATGGTTAACTTCAAACAAGCTAGTGCCTGTGTAATCTCTTTATTAGCCACTTTTATCAAGCAGCTTCTCGTATTCAGTTAATTAACTCCTGCTCCATTTGTATCTCCTTGTGCAGTGTGTATCGTTCAAACGTGGTAGGAATGTAGCTCTTCCTCGGTATTTATTTGGTGCTGGGGAAAGTGTCAGTTATTGTGCTCTGAGTGCCCCTTGAAGGCCTTGATTCGGTTATGTCCAATACGTGTTCCTCTGAGCCTGGAACCCTGTCAGTTGTTGTACAATGTTATGTATGCCCTTGAAAGGCTCTTCTGCAATTATGTCCACTACTTGTTCCTCTGTGTCTGTAACCCGAACATCTTTTGTCGTCCACTATCTTCCTGCAACCACTCTCGCCCTTTGTCGGCGTGAGTTCTTTCACCTTCTGCCATGTTAATGTAGCATTTCCCCTGAACTAATCGCATATCCGCAAATTCGTGAAAGGAAATTCAAAGTAAGTCACAGTTTGAGAAATTATTGTTATGATTGACAAGGGCTATCCACCTGTAACTATTTGTTAATGACAAAGAACATCATTGCCACTGTGCCTTTTTATCAAGAAATTGTAGAAGAGAACTTTTTTGATATCAAAAATTTTTGTAATTTGAAGCAAAGATCGTAATTTTTTTTTTGAATCCTTAAGTATTCCAATATGCTACAAATTAAACATGGAACCATTTCAAAATAATGCTTAATAACAAAGTTGAAATTCGATCTTCAACTGTTAATATCTTCTAAAAATTTTCGAAAAAAAAATTTCCAATATTTTTTCATACTTCCCAAGGGAGCCTCTATCACCCCTTAAAAGGAATGACGCCAATTTTGAATCATTTTGATGATTGATCACCCTGTATTGAATTTTTTTTCGAAAATTTCTAGAAAATACAGACAGTTGAATATTGAATTTCAAGTTGAAATGATCTCATGTTTGATTGGCAGCCTATTGGAATCCTCAAGCATGCGATAAAAATTACGATCTCTACTTGAAATTATGAGAATTTTTGATCCTTAAAAAAAATCTTCTACATTTTTTTGTTGATTGTTCGAAGCGGCAATGATGTTTTTCGTTAATAAGTAAATTTTAATAACAAATCTTGTTACCCGAAGCCTGTGTTAAAATGTCTTAATATATGGCCCGGCGATTATTTATACATATTATGTTCTTGTGTGGCTTTTCTTAGTGGAAAGCATATTAAAAAAACAATTAAGGTAATTTTGAATTGATTTAATGAATACGATTGAAGTAGACCATTTTTCTGCATATCAAGAAAGGGGTCTTTATGACAATTATTATTACTTACAGTTAACATTGATAGTTTTATAGGCACATGCTATGTAACGGCAATCAACTGTATTTATTTTTATTCTTATGGTTTTATTATCTTTTGCAGCAAAAAAGCAGAATGGTTCCGCATTCCGGACGAACAGTCTTGGGAGCGGTGTTAGAACACCACCATCAGAAAGGAAAGGGAAGTTTTCGTTAGGAAAATTGTTAAGACCCTGGAAATGGAAACGAAAGAGGAAATCAGATAAGCTAGAAGCTGTGTCTAGAAGTAAGTGAATAATTACTATTATATCTTTATCTTTTGAGAATTTTTCCTACGCATATTTCTTTCTTTTCGCATATTTCTTTCTCATTTCAGGGTTAATTTTGCTCTTGTTTTTATTTTGTATCTTTGGCGCCGTGCCTTTCCATATACATGAATAGTTTTATAATTTTTACGAAACTTTAGTTTTTTGAGATATTGCTTTTATTCACTGACACTGCGCTACTATTTCCTGCATGCCGCTATTTCTGGTTAGTTTTAAACTTTGAATTTTATTCTTTCGGGATTTTCTACTTTTGTGGCGGTTTGGCAACATGGCTGCGCGGTATCTAACTTTTGGCTGCTCGTACGGTGCGTGCGGGCTCGTGCGCGGGCTTTAACAGATCGTGTCGTAAAGAATGACCGTAGCTATGAAGGCTTTCACGGCCGGTCAAATTACATTTAGGAATGTTTTCCGGGCTTTGAAGCCGTAGTCTATCGGAATTTCTTCCTGACGTTTCGTCCACAACTGCGGTGGACATTTTCAAAGGCGATGAGGCAGTGGGCGAAGT